TGTTGGGGTGATGATATCAATTCTAGTTCAAATTGAAGTAATCATTGGTTAACAAACTTAAGAAAGAAGTTTTATCACACTGCTCACATATGTGTTGGTTCAAAGGTTTACAGCTTTTTTGAAGCGTATTGACACTTAACATCGTAGTTTAATAAAGTTTGTTGATCCACAATATTGCATTCAATTGTTCCAAGACATTCATTTCCAGACGCACTACCATCCATTGCCGTAGTCGAGACCCGTGTTTTCTGTAGTGCACGTGAGTCAAGGATGTTTCGTGATATTATTTTGTCATTTCAAGAAGCGCTTTTTAAATCGAGATTCTGTTTTTGTCTTCTACTTCCTTAGGTTGCTGTATCCCGACCTTTCGACGTTGGACGTCTCGATGAACTTGAAAAACGTAAGTCGTTCCCTCCAGTAATGATATTTTTATACTGACTTTAATAAACGAAGACTTTATGTTAAATAGGTGACTGCTTTAATTTATTTGGATGTTCAGCTGTATGGCGACTTGAAAAATGCGTATTTCAGAATTGTGTTTTTAGTATGATAATAAGTTGTATAGTAAATAAAATCCATACTATTGATTTTGTTAAATTCTCTATTACTCGGTGGTAATTGATGGAATAGGTTTTTTTATTGTGACTTATTTGTTCATTAACTTACACTTTGTTCTTTTGACTTCAGTCTCTATCTCGTCTTGTTCTACATAAATCGCTTTCGTCCTACTAATATTCATCCCTACTTACGAACTCTGCTTGACTATTTGGATAAGCTTTCATACAGGTTTATCATTTTGTCATCACTTCTCGTTAGGTGGCGTCATTGTATACTGATGTTTTCTTTCATAGTATAAATTCTCAGTTACTACTGATTTAATCTTTGTTTACTTCAACCAAAAACCTCAATTATACTTCTGCGGCTTTAAGAATTCCAGTGACTTGGTAGATTCATTTGACCTAATTCTTTGATCAATCTGTTTTTCTTAATTTACGCTAGAGCTAGGCTTTGTTGTGCGCCTAGCAAACAGTGCCTTGTAGTGTTTAGCACATAACTAAATCACTCATAATAACCTCAGTTCAGAGGAAATGACTGTTCCATTATAAGCTGTTCTATTTCCGAACATCCTTAGACTCCAATGAATGGCTGGAAGCCAGTGATAGGATCTTAATTAAGTGAAAAAACAATAGATCTTTGGAATTTTACTTCTGGGGACATAATGACGATCATTTTAAAAAATTAAAATATGAAATCGGTTAAATTTAACAAGTAACAACTTTGAACATTGATACACGAACTTTGGATCCCATAATAAAAGATCAATACTAGACAAACAATCACCACCTACATGTAGAAATATGGTTTAAAAAATGCATGTTTCTTTTGAAGCCCACGTTCAGGCTTCGATATGCTTTGGTGGATGCAAATGAGTGATATTACCACAGAGGGTTAGCGCACTCTTCATTTCTAAAGAATTAGTGGTGTCACTTGTTAACCTATTCGTCATTATTTCGTTTCTCGTTATCACAACCGTCGAGGTTTTTCTGTTTCATTTTTAAAATGTGTTTAATTTTAATGATAATAACAATCACACTTTTCATATAGTTGTTACCAGTCTTGTTAGTCGCATATCAGATCTGGAGTCACGCATAAGCACTATGAAGTTGAGTAATGATCCTCATGATGTAGTTGGAGAAAAATCAGATTCAGAGCCTGATCTTTTTGGTTCAGACAGCGAGGTATGTAACTAAAGTTTTCCAAACTCCTTCAGGAGGATAAAGAAGCTGAGCGTATCAGGAGTGAGAGAGAAGCCGAATACCTTGCAAAAAAAGCTCTAAGTAAGTTTTGATTTTAAAATCCACCCATTTAGACACATAAAGCTGGCTAAGTTTTTTTCATTCACACTGCTTCAGTAGTTAAGGTGTTAAACTTACTACCATTTAGTCTGTACTTAGCTCCTACTTTACCTTAAATGTGACTCGAAGTTAGGTATACGAAACGTATTTGGTATATAAGTCAATTGAAAGTTAAGAAGTATTGACACATTACTTATGATTATTCATGCGACCATTCATACGCTTACCCTATTAGCTGTACAAATTCATTAAGTTATGTCGGTTTCTACAATAGGCAATTGTAGTGTTGTTTTAACACAATTAAGATAAAATGAGGGTATTTATGCTTCTTTGATCAATAGATACTATAGCAGTAATGCAAAATAATATGGTTTATGTTCTGTATTTAAACTATTTTAAAGACCTATTCCGATGTGGTCCCAAAGTAGTCGTTCGTCATTTTAAGCTCCTTCATATTATGCCGATGTATTTACATAAAGTGATCTGTATTTGTATGAAGTTTTACACTGGCTTATCCGTACTAATCTCGACAGAGAATTGGTGATAGTTCGCGCGTTTCCCATTGTATTCACTGATTACATTTTATGATTGCATTTCAAAAGACCCTAAGCTATTCAAGTTAATATCGATTGGATGAGTTAGTGCTATCGTTTAATCAAATAACTATGGGTCTAATAAAACTGGTACAACTTCATTTAGGTAGGTAATAACGTCCTCAAGACGTGGTCTAGTCATCCTGGTAAACTTTACGTTTCACTAAATAGTCTAAGCTGTTTGAGTAGCACTTCCTAGTTGATTTTAACAAAACTTGTTCCATAATATGTATAAAGCTTAAGAACATTGCAAGGCAATTATCTGCGAATTGTAGATTATTCAATTCCAACCCAAATGTTTTACATGATAGCTATTAAACTTTCGTGATAAGACTCAGAATTTACATATATTCCATGATGGCATAATACCAGCGTAATAGTATTGGATCTAAAACACTTGTATGGTTTATTGTATTTGTTACTAATTAATGTTTGCATCAGTGTTCGCTGTGAATCTACTCACCAGAGTAGAGGAAATTGTAAGTTTGATTTTCTTCTCGTGAAGAAGGTTGTGTGAAATTCTGATTGAATTCACTTGATTACGACGCGTAATTACACTGCTACTAATATGAACTGATAATAAAGAAACTTTCCGAGACCCGTAAAATGACATCAATCATTAATCAACTTGTATTTATTTATATTTTTCTTCACTTGCATGGAGTTTGTTAATTACAATCTATTAAGTGTTTGTATATACACCAACTTATTTTATTTAGAGCCTGTTGTGGCAGCAAAGTCAAGTATCACCCTTGATGTGAAACCATGGGATGATGAGGTAGATATGGAAGAACTTACCTCTTTGGTGAAAGGTATTAAAGTAGATGGCCTTTTATGGGGTGCATCCAAATTAGTGCCCATCGCTTTTGGCATAAAGAAGCTCCAAATCTGTTGTGTCGTTGAAGATGACAAGGTTAGTTTATACTACGAATTTCTGAGACTATTATGTGTAGGCAATCTTTTGCATTACTATTTTATCCAACACTAAAATCACAATTTTTTTTACAAGTAAGCGTTTTCACTACTTGTTGATTTGACATCTAAGCCCAGTTTGATCACAAAGTTAAATAACATTAGGTGGTAAAGCTAATCAAATCTAATATCTATGTAATAAATTCCTACTTCTGTTTGCTTTCAGGTTGGAACTGACTTCCTTGAAGAATCTATAAAGGAATTTTCGAAACATGTCCAATCTGTAGATATTGTATCATTCAACAAGTTGTAATGAAAAACAGGAATTGTAATATATAATGGACCGAATCAGTAAACGTCCGTCTTTCAATGTCCTTGTTCTAAAATTGGGATAATTTGCTATTAATCTTATTCGTAATGTGTTGCACAGCGCCTTGCCTCCACAACGCATACTGAAAAACTGTTGTATGCAGTCGAGAAACGATTAACGCAAAAGAAACTAAGCGTCTCTCCTCACAGCAAACCCAGTATGTATAATATCGCAATAATTAGGCAGGTTACGTTTTTTAAACGGAGCGACCAGTGTAGCTTTTTGAACGGATGTTTATTTCGTCAGCACGGGCCTTACTAATGTAGTGAGTGGACCTGAACTGAGTTCTTTTTTTGCAAATGTTTAGCTTAATGTACAATACAATACCAAAAATACTTATCAGCCTAGTTATTTCTAATAAGTACTCCATTAACTGATTACGATCCGCTTCAAAGAAATATCTGTACTTTTGTATGAAGATAAGATAGTGATTTTAGGTAAATTTTCCCTGACGTATCTCTCCGAGGAAAATTATCTGTCAATTTCCAGCCGATTTAAAATACCCTGTAATACTGCTTAAACTTAATAAGGTTTGATAATATATGTACAGTGTTGAGTAATTATTGATCAAAATGCTCTAAAATTAAATGACAGTGGATTGTTGTAGGATACTAGTAGAATCAGTGAATGAAAAAAACAATCTATGGATATATTACCTCTTCAATGTTCAGTTTACCTAATTAATTGATCATGTTCTATATAGGTGTTATCGATATTATTCTTGAATTCAATGGATGTTTTTAATTCCATGATTAATCAATTTGCTATATGGTTTAAGTATCCTAGTTAAGTATTTCGCCAGATTGTATGTCGGTGAATTTGTAAAATTAACCACTGTTCTTTGTGATGTCGTTCAGAAGAACGATAAAAGCTCCACGACCAAACCATCGAGCTCAGAGAACAAAACATCATTAAAATCTGTTACAGTACTATACTGGCTCAGTTGATTAAACCTTCTATGACAATTTCAATAGGAACTATTTATAGCATAGTTAATAATAATCAAGTAAATAAAAGCAAACCAGTGCGTTTTCTATGCCAAAAGGTATAAATGACATTTTGTAAGATAATAAATATATTGTAAGTTTTCTTTTGAGCATGCCAAATCAAAACAAAAAAAGCAAATAGCAAAATAATCCAGTTATCACGGTCGGCATCTCTGTAAGAGTTGTATACACATATAAGTAGCCGGTTTCTTCTGTTGTGTGTTTATGTATCATACATACCCGTATTCACAAATATTATTATGATGGCGGTTTATTTGGGTCTCTAAATATATATAACTGAGCGAATAAACTGGAAAAAACAAAACGAATGTAGAATGCATGTATAATATACTAAGCAGTAGTTTAAAATAAGAATGAGCAAATTGGAAACTACAATTCATACATTACCAAAATAGGAAATGGATAGTAATGTGAAGCGATAAGTTGCCAACATGATTTGGAGACGCTAGCAGCACATTCTATTACTGAGACGGCTCTTTTTCGTAACGGATAGTCCATAGTAAATAAAAAACCAGGTTTTAGTGAAAATCATCGATCTTATTCAAAGATAATTTCTAACTGCATTAATAGTCCGTTCGGTATGTAGTCCGATGAATTGTGCTAAGCATTGATCTACTGAGTCTATATATTAGAAAAAAAATTTGATGTATCACACTTGGAACCTATTCTGGTAAATTCTGTGGAATATTGCCGGAGGAATAAGTAGGAAAATCTGGTTGAAAACAGTTGTAAAGTGGATTTGATGTTAACTTTATGTAACACAGAGTGTACATCATATAAAACGAATGAAGATTAAGAATAAAGGTTGGAAACTGCTTACTAGCAACATTTAAAATTTAAGTTGTCGCCACAGTCTTGTTTGTTGAGCTAGTACAGATACATTGTAGAGCTGAATGCTTATTCTCCACATAAAGATCACAGTTATTGCGATGATTGCTTATATCATATCCGCATAGCGCCAGATATTTCAAGTACTGCAACGATCACCATCTGATCCGTATGGAATTTTACTTATGACCTTCTGTCTAACTCAACTCAAACTTACAATGATTCATTGGTACTGTCATTCAAAGTTTATCTTGTGTATATCCATATACTGAATATTTACTGGTATCCAATGCAACAGCTGATGACCATCATCAACATGAGGCATTTCTTCATTCTTTTGTTACTGGTCGTATAACTTGGGCTGTACGCTTGAATTATATTCCAAATGGCTTCGTTTTGCGAATTCTGAATTTCCGTACACTGCCAGTATAGTATGCAATTGCTTACAATTGATTGTTCACTATGTAATGACCGATGTCACATGGGCCTGGTCTTTTAGTGCTGACCAAATTGGAATGTGGCCACTAATCTGAGTGACTCGGTAACGCATGCGCTATGTTGGGATATTAAGATAGCTGACTAATCAATTTTAAATATCTCAGTGGTGATGTCACACACTAGGACCTGGGAGTGCGGGTTGGAATACCACGGGAAGCGTTAGTTTCCTCTAAAGTGTAGTTAATATCTTGCTGGTAAGTCCCAACTAGTAAGAAACCCAGATCCATGGTTCCCTCCCGACTATCCCCAACCAAATAACATACAATAACTTAAAATCTTGAACAGACTATCTAATTCAAACTTACATCGTCAGCTCCAAAGACAGCTCGGCCATCTCGAGTGCGCTCTTGTGCTTTGAATGTTTCGAAAACAGTGGATAGTCGGATCAATAACAAAATGTAATCATCAAATAAAATTTGACCTTTTTCATTTGCATATCGACAAGCAATAGCCTTGAAAATCATATTACTGACATGAAAACCTAATACGGAAAAAAGATTTTCGTATACGATCATAACCACATTATTGAAATTTGTTAGTTTTGTGATACTTAGTATATAGGAATTAAAGGATTACTTGGTAAGTAGAAGAAATAGCTTGTATCAACTAAATTAATTGTCAACGTTTCATGCTGTAAATCCATATTTTCGTGAATTAACCGATTAATTTTTGTCACACTCCTGGACTATTTTGTTTCTGTACAATGCTTTAAACTTGTTTGCTTTTTTTAGTAACATGAACACGCGATTAATAGACAGAATGATAACTATCGCGTGTAACGGCATAATAGGAATTAAAATGCATTACTACTAGGTCCAAAGAGTACATAAGATCACTCACTCACTGGATGGTTATGAAATGTATTATTGTCTAATAGCAACAATAAGATGCCGGACTATATGGGACTACAAGGATTATGTTCGATGCATTCACGTTACATATAAAAAGATGAGGTGATTGTATTGTAAGTTTGAAACATAAGTAGATAATAATACCTAGAGTACACTATTGATCAAGACAATGCCTCCAAAAAATCTGGACGAAACACAGCTGGATAAATATTGCAACCAAGGATTGGAAATGCTTGGTAAAAGATCGATTAATCCTGGTAATTATTCGTCACTACTATTTTAAATCGCCTGTCCACGATTACCACTGTATAATTATGTACAGTTAGCTTTTTTGTTTCAATTATTGTTGTTAGGATGTGCAGAAAAATATACCAATAATTATCATGTTAAGTCTAATGGTGGCCTTGGACTTTAAATGTACACTCCCTATTGGTCGATATTTATTTCATTCGTTAAATATTGTACAAATGTTGTTTTCTATTTTATGGTACGATGTGGTCTGGTTGATTGGTATATAAATAGAGTATGTCTGAGATATAATGATTCATATCTCAGAGGCTAAGACTTATGTTCTGGACTCAACTGGCTGGGCTAGACAGGGAAGCGGGACCAATCGAGACTCTAGGCCGTCCGTACGTGTTTTTCGTGTCATTGAATCGATCGATAAATACGCTGCTCCATCTAATCAGCAGTCCACGCGTTACAACAATTGTATGGTTACGGCTAGTACTTTGCAGCTAACATGTTTTAGACTAAACATAGAAAATAAGGTACACATACACATTAATATCATTTCCTTAAGTCAGGAGTTATGATTTCATTGTACTTTGAAAATCCTGAGTGGTTTATATATCTTTGACTCTTAGTGTAAACTGACATACTTCGATGTTTTTTGATAGAATTTTCGACCTCATGATAAAGTGGAAGTTCCCAATTGTTCGGATTCTTCACTTCAGATGGTCTTAGAATCCAATCCTGATTTTTAGAGGTTTTCATTTTTAAGAATGGATTTCAGAATACATCGCCTTGTTGGAAACGGTATTTGAATGGGTTTGCTTTTCACAGAGTCAACAATATGTATCGTCCGACTACATTAATCCATAGATCATGTTAGGCTTTTAATCTTTGTCATGTATTGCTTTCTTCTATTATCAATTATGTTTATGAGAAATTTGGTTTACGTGGTAGCAAATAGTATTTCCCCACCTGTGAAGTAGTGGCTTAACAGTTAAGACATTCGACTTCTAGACATTAAGTGACAGGTTCGAAGCCGGTTTAATCTACTTCGCTTTAAGCGACCGAGGATGCACACTTAATCTGACTCGAGGTCAAGTACACGAATATGTACCTGGAAAATGAGATAAAAGGACTTCTTTCACTCACCTATGGTCCTCATTACATTTCTTAATTCGAAAGCTTCTAAGCTACCAGTATGACCTTCATCGAATTTTTTGAAAATAGTCTGAAATAATGAATTGTTGGGTTTAGAGGAAATGCAAATAAAAAGTTAGAAATATTCATTATCAGTTTCATGCATAAATTTAATCTTAAGGAAGGAATATTTTAGGTTTGAAAAAAAGAGAGTCACTACAAGTCTACTTCTAAATTAAAAATTCAAACAAGATTTGATGATTAGCTACCACTTTCATGACCGCGATGGAAATAGTAGTGTATGACAGTTGTTCAACGTATTCATTCGGATTGAATTGCTTAACTCTCTTGTGATTTTATGATAAGTTACGATTACTTTCAACATTCAATAGTTAATTAATTCCAACAAATGTTTGGTATCATTAAAAACCAAGTCGGCTTTCTCTATTCGGATTCAAAATAAACATTGTTTATCTTTATTATATTATGAATTCTAGTTTAGTCTTCGCGTCCAAACCACAATTAAAAGACTTCAGCAAGTGTAATGATCGATACTACCTAAATATCTGTATACAGTGGAAATTCAGTTATTGAGAGAGTAGTGTTGCATAATACTAGAGAGGACCAGATGTGTCTATCTACTCAAGGACGTTAATATTTTAATCGTTCAAAGCAGTACTGTGTTTGGAAGTGCCATTTATTTCACTGGTGAACCTCATCATGGACAATTGACAGATATGATTGGAAGTAGTTATCCAGATGATATTAACTTCTGTTTAGTACGTTCGTTTCCAAATACTGTTCCTAGGATGGGAACATTGAAAAAATCAAGCCAAAATGACAGTTGTTTGTTGTGGAACAAGAACAAAGATATTATGTGAATATGTTTGGATTTGTATTAATGTCGAAACCAAAAATGATGGTGCATTAATGAATTTATTACAAGGATAATAAGAGAATTCTCATTTCACTCTATGTCCGGCGCTTTAACCGGATCCCAAACCAATGGTGCACATGGGCTCCAGTATCCTGCGGGAACAAATGGCGTATCAACCAATCGTTGGTCACCGACTACCATAGGAATGCATCTCCTCACGATGCTCCACTGCCTTGTGGATCAGACCTTTAGGTCACAGGCTCGGGGTGTGGTTCCCTAAGAGAACCACCTGCTTCGGTCTGGGCACCCGGGTAGTATCACAGCCTACACACACAAATATGGTGTGGCCGATATATATTTGGTGCCATCTTGTACCAATATTTATGTGTTGAAATAAATAAATCTTCACTCTATTCGTTTTGTTCTAGATCAGTTATTATAGGAATAAAAATATGATCATTCTCTATAATTAACTAGGTTAGAATAGAATTACACGAATGAATCAATTCAAAATTCCCAAAACACTAACAATATTCTTGACGGTGGTCGTCATTCACGTTATAATGGAGTAGTTGACACAGGCGAAAATATTATATTAAATTATACTTTTAGAAACCTACTATAAGGCATGGTAAAATTTTAAAACAATTTATAAGATGAAAGTACCTTCCAAATGCGTAGTTCCATCCATAGCTTTTTGAATTCATCAAAGCCCAAACCACCGCTTAAATCAGCCTATGTATCATTACATGTTATTATGGAACATGGTCAAGGATAATATAAACAATTTGATTAGTCATATAACTAGGGATTAAAATGTACGTTCATTTTATAACTACTACAAAGGCAATGATAATCCAATAAAAATTAAATCCAATCTATTTAGCTGGATTACAGTCCTGAGCAATGTAGAACTTGGCACATATACATCGATTCAAAATGTTACATCATATTAGCACAACGAGATTAACAAAATCAAATGCCAAAATTGTAGAAGTAATATAAACTGGATTGCCTTAATTAATGAAGTGTAGAATCAAACTCTACAGCTGTCATTCTCCACAAATCGCACACTAGGAGTAGTTACAAACAAATAGAGTAAGAATGGTGTTGGGTAACAGGAATTTAAAGCAATAATATCAGAGGGTAGATGGGGAATGTAAGTCGGACTAGTGAAGCATGAGGAGTAGTATCCAATAGTCTACAAACGGAGAAAATACGATTTTCGTGGTGGGATGTGGTCAGAGTTGACCATGTGTTCATGGATTGAAGTATTGATCGATTTGCATTCTCCTTCACATAGCCACACAGAGTACCATTCAGATATTTGCTTACCAAGAGCACTCTCAATCCTTGAATACACGATCAGCTCTGGTCACATTCCAACCGGAGAATCATTGTTGTAAATGATATGCAAAGTAAGAAAAACTGGCATAAAAAAGGTTTGGATAAAAAATTGTTGTACAGCTGAGGCTATAGAAATGCACCATTTCAAATCCGACCTCTGTGTAAGAAAAGTGTCATGTTCGATGCCTTATTATTCCATGGTTTCAGCACGCCTCGGAATTTCACAAACTGTAAGTGCTAATTATCATTTTACTCTCAATATTCTTTTTTTTTAAGGTAGACAGTTATTGTTTGCTTTTATTGCATAAATTATCACTTCTTGTTACTTTCAAAACTATGACATTAGTTCTTGATTACTTTGATAAATAATGCAGCACTTAGTTTATTCAATACTTAATAACTTTCAATAACACTTTGCCTTCAATAAATTAGTATATTCAATACTTGGAATTTCTTGGTAATCATGATTAGATTATGCGATACCACTTCATTTTCATTGACTTTCACACCCGATACTTGAATAAGTTTGACTATCTTCAATGATTTTATAACAGAGGGTGTTACTATATACAATATATGTATATAACTTATGAATAAAATTGTACAGCTTCAGACAATAATGTTGTCGAGAAGAAATTTTTTACGCTGAAACGTTTTCGTTCTTTTTAAAAATGAAACCGGTTGCCAAATGTCTCAAATTATTTGAAAAGAATGATAAATGAGATGAGCATGAGTGAAAAGGATTAAATTATCAGTTTAACAGTGTAGACATTAATTTTAACAATGGACATAACATTTTGGATAGCACCTTGAGTTGTATTTTAAATCAACATTTAACTTATCATTCAAGTCAAGTAAAATGTGATCATATCTAAGGGAGCAAGAACACTCAGATCATTGGTACCAAATTTATCTGGATATGTTATTGTGAATAATAGAAAAAAAGCAATTGAATTCATCTACGTGTAAGAAGAAAGTATATCAAAAATAAAGTGTTTCGGAATTTGACTCATGTCATGATAGCATTTCCATACACTGCTAAGCTGTGTTAAAAAAAACGATGAAGTGGCTAGCTGTATAATGCGTCTAGGCCTTTCTTTCAGTTATTCTTCCAGTTAATGTCATTTTCTAATTGTGAAAATTGCTGATTTTCTTAGTTTGCATAACACATTGATAATCATTAAGAACCTGAATACACTGAGTAGCTGTTTCATTCTGATAATGGGGTTCTTCAGTAGTGTACATCTACAACCTTAACGGAGACCGAATCCAGAAACTCTAAGTTTCATGGAGAGCACATCTACTGGTTTATATTGTCTAACTTTAATCATTTCGCAATATTGCACAACCACCTTTTAATAAATTTTATTATTACTAATCTCCAACGTTTATTGCAAAAGTGCTAGTTTAAAATTGAATTTCCATAGACAAAATTAAAAATAAAAGGATACATCCATTAAGGCCATCATACTTCTAGCAGTTTCTCGACTAAATCCATCGAATGGAAAATCTAAGTCAGAAAAAAATCAACAGAAATAAATTAAAAATTGAATCAATTAAACTATTCAATTGTGAACTTTTTCTGAGTTGGGTTAGAAAGTATTCATTTTTATCAGAAGGGGTTTGTGGAGATTTTAGAAATTTCACAGAATGAAATCATGAGTCATTTGAAGCTAGACCACTATGGGAAACCTGGAAGCACTGGACAACCACAGTAGAACGAAACGGCCGTCCAGTGTTTCCAGGTTTTCCGTGGTGGTCTAGCTTCAAATCACTCATGATTTCATTCTGTGAAATTTCTAAAATCTCCACAAACCCTTTCTGACAATAATCATCTACTCACTAGTGACTGACTTCAAGAGATACTCCTGGAGTTCTAGTGAGAAGCCGTTACCAGTGGAGTTCAACCAGGTCTGTTGTGAGATATCAGCTCACTGAAGACAATGGTGTGCGATGGCGCAACTTCGTGGGTCGATTGAAGTTAGACATTAATACCATTGGATGACGGCTCAGTATTCATTTTTAATGTATACTATAACCAACAATAAAAGATGATCTTTGTCCATCATTAATTTGTTTTTTTTCTTGTTACGTATTATCTGATGTATGTGATAATTCAACGTTGATACTATTGAAGAGATCCAAAGAATGCCTCGGAAAATTTCAGAGGCTCTGAAAACGCTAGGAAACATTATATCCATTCAGAGTTGAACAGAAGCTTCTCAAAAACATATAGAAGGGGAGGAGTTGCGATCCACGTTTCTGATTAAATGGTTACCTAACCTGCTACTATATTTAATATGGTTTCAGGAACTTCCGAGAATCTAAGGCCATCTGAAATACTATAAATACGATCGATTTTCTGTACATGAACAAACGTTGGAGTAAAACGTTATTTTCAAACTTCGCGCCTTTTCCTCTTATGTTTATGTTGCCATGTAGATCTAGCCAGAGGTTATCAGAAGAGCTTAGGAAACCGATTCAAGAGTTGGATTAGAATAGTGATTAGATACACGATATGGCCATAGAGTTTATTGACATTTTTTAATTGATAAATGATTAATAAGCTTGGTTTAAAATTTCATCTTTTAATGATCAGCCGCTACTCAATAGTTTTCAGTTATTTTTTAAGATAATCAATTTTGAACTTCTGGCAACAGAACTTATGCTATCTATAATGAATCCCTTAAAATTTACATATTCATATAAAACTGATAAAACCATTTGCTATTCATGATATTTTGAGATAAAACAATTTTTACAGTAAATGTATCGACTAGATTAGATAAAAAGTTTAGTGTTACCTTTTTGAAGCTAATCGGAAGAAAACTCTGAAATAGTCTTTTTCGACTGAAGGCATTTATTTGAAATAGTGTCCCATAGTGCTGTAATTACAGTCACTATATTAAGTTATTTAGACTTCAGCTCATATATGTTTTGATATATATCCATTGTATTGTGAATAAGTTGTACAACATTTATTCCCCACTCGTAAATTGTGTCAATACAGTTGGTATCATCTACATAACTTGTTCGTTTGAAGTCATCTGCAACACTTTCAGTGGTTGCAATGTTTCATCCAGAACTTTTAACTAATTTTCTATTTGCTTTATGTAAGTGGTGTATATTAGAAAATAATTATCATGAAAGGTTTCATTTCAAACCTTAAGTTTCATAAATATTTTTTTCATTATGTTGATTTGTGCTATACTGACAGTTGATAACAGACAGGCATTTGAAATAGTTTGTAAAAATTAAACTCAATTACGTAGCATTTATTCACTAAATGGATGAAACAATTGTCTGAAAACACTAGGTGCAACACACCGTATATTGAAAACACTGCAGATAACCTTCGTCATACTATTCTGAATAACTCAGATATGTTTCTGATCGCATGAATATATATATTTTTATTGTATAATTATTAAGTAACTAGGTTACTATATGTATATTCCTTTTATTATGAGTTTCCGGTTCACCCATTAACTAATCCTTTGTCACTTTATTATTCACAGTAACTTCCCTGATCACAACCACTTTTTGGCTTGATCATGTATAATTATTTCGTATTTTATGGTCGAGTATGTCGGTACATAAACTCAATATGTTTAAAATATAATATTCGTGTTGTTCAGATTGATTACTATGTTCTGTAGGGAGAGAAGCTACTGAATCTAGAATCAATAAGAACTTATCTTTGACACAAAGTTATTGGTGATGAGACGGATTTCGATTGTTGTTTTTGTCACGTGATATTAGTGAGTAACCATCACAATATTCACATACAGTTACAACTAGTTTTACGTCATACGCATATATAGAGTGAGATTTAACGATAATACACATAGGATACAAACGAGAAAGGATTGCAGTGGACGTGACATAATTGTTCAAGTTCTATGGGTTAACTCTATAATATTATGATTAAAATACAAGTCTCTTGATTTCCAAAGTGTACGAAAATAATGTGTTAGCTCTTAGACACTAACTATTATGTTCGAATAAGTAACCGGTTTTGTTTTATTTATGGTTCCATTGTTAACATAAACTTCCAAAATCTGAACGATTATTTGATAAGCGTCTCAAGTAATTGATAATAGTAAGTATAAATATCAACAGGTCATATCCCAGAAACTTTAGTATATATAGCATATATATGAATAGTAAGAGATTTTTAATAAATAAACTAACTCTACTGGAGATTACCTTTGGTAAATGCTTCATTTAATATATCTTGTAATTGAGTATATGTGATTGCTCCAGTTGGACCAGCTATTTTATTGAAGACAACTTGCAATTTCTCTATTAAATTATCATCAGCTGTTCTAATTGGGTGATCAGGCTATCAATATATAATAAAAAAACAAAACAGAAGAGAACAGATGTAAATACTAACAAGTCGAACACAAAGAAATAATATGAACAAATCTAGTATTAAAGTAGAAATTGATTAAATAGTAAGACTGGTCTTTACAACAAGAAAAAAATCCAGTTATATTCGAACGTTCTTAAATGCCATTTGGATGTAAGTGAAAGTAGACAGAGATACAACTTGATAGTTACTTGGGGGGTTAATAGCTAAGAACGGATTGTGCTTTATACAATTAGTCATGTGCAATATAGTGCTTGGTACATATGTGAATCGTTTCAAGTTGTCAAAGCATTACAGCAAAGCGAAATGAAATTATCAAGACAAATGCCGAAGTAAAAGTAGTAACAGTATCAGTAACGGCAGTGGAAAAAAAGATTAGTCATAAATAATATGAATTGAGAAGAAATAATGAATTCGTAGAATAAGAGAGTATAAGATCATTTTGAACCTCGGGACATAAAGGAAAGAAGTAAGTGAATACATCTGAGCTATTGTAACCAACTTCCATGCTTTGTATGGTTCTATATACAGGGCACCGAAATACGTTATCATTTAGCTTGATCATATATACTGTATATGCTCACATAATATTTACCATTTGCATTCGATGGATATCGAGTGATCTCTAGAAAAGATTTTAAAGTATCAAATTAGTATACAGGTTTTAAACGACCAACTATATAATTATAAGTAATGTAGGAATATTGATATGTTTCATCACGACGTAAATCAGTTCTATACTAAAAAATAAACTGGAACAAGTAGAATAAATTCTGAGTTAAATTAGTGAACCAATGGACTTAAAGATCATATACTTAAACGACTAAAGTACAACTTCAATCACACGAAAGAAACAATGGATTATCTAACATTATTTTAATTAGATCATTAAACTGTTCAATTCTCAAATAAGTGAAATACTAATAGCCATTATTGTTAATTAACGATTTATGATAATTTTTATTTTTTTCTCGTCAACGTATCATAAAAAGCGTATTTACCCTAAGTGTGATGACCAGTGATACTACTCACCACCGTAGATTGAAATAAGTGGAGTGAGATTTGAACCTATTATCTAGTGGTTGCAATTTGAATACCTTAACTACTGAGCGATTGTCCCACTTAAAGTACGTTAACAAATTGAATGGATGAACCTAGCTGTACAGAAAGTCTCAAGTACGATCCAGAAAACTGGGTGATAGGTCTGCTACATTACAAACTAACTGAGATTGAAAGTGTTGTGACTTCTAAGCCTGGTTAATTATCACACGACTTATTCGCCAATCGAAATACGACATATATCAACTTAACACTGTGCCAAACCAATGACGGTCGACTGGTATGAGCAACCTAGCGTCTTTATTGGTCTTTATTCCTCCTAGCCCTGCCAGTTGAGTCCAGAACACTAATACTAGCTCCCACTACATGAATCACTTATTCCAAACATATCTGGTTTATAAAAAAGCCAACCAGATCACATCACACCATAAAATAGGAAATAACATTTTTACAAGATCAAGCCAAAAAGTGGCTGTGATCGTGGGAGACTGTAATTAATAAACAGAGTATAATTTAAGAATAGTAAATCGTATCATAATAGTCTATAGATCAAAATAAAGCTTATAATGAGAGGAATATGAATATACATAATTTAGTTACTGAATAGTTATACAATAAGAGTATATGTGACATGCAAAATTATTGGTCAGCATCCAATCATCATCAAATAGTTTTAGTTGTTAGCTACTGTTCATTACTTCTCTTTCTATGTTTCTTCCTTGAAGCTGCGTTTTAGTTTAGTTTTCTAAGGTGAATGTTATAAATTATTTGTAGATTGTTCAAATCCACATTGAGGTAATCTATTAATATATGTATGTATACATTTGTAAACTGAGTGGTTGAATCACACAGATATTAGTCATATAAATCAGTCAGTCAAACCAACTTAGTGAAACTAAATTAAATAAACAATCAGTTCAATTGGCTAAGCTAACTTTAGATTGAATATTTATTTAAATTTTCGTGGAGTTGTTCAATTATGAAATTGTCTTCATTTTGAACTGACTTAATCTACATCATTATCTTTCACTGGACAGTTGTTTCATCTTAGTCTTGAACTATTCAACAACAGTTCCCATCCGTGGTTCTGCTGGAATTCAAACCTAGAAAATCCATACCTCATGGTAATGGCGTTTCCTTTATATCGCCGAATCAGTAATAGTCCATACTTTCTGTTACATCCTAGTGAAGATTAAATTATAGGTTGCTTCTGAGAACTATTAATCGAGTAATATTATATATATATATATATATATATATATATATAAGCATTTAACTAGGGATAAATAGTTAGTTAAGAAGTTCGACTGTTGTCCAGTCGCTAAACGCCGGATTTTGTATCCTACCTACATACCATGAATACTTTGATTTGATCGACCGAGCAGTACTATAGTGAACAAAAAATCAAGTAAAATCACGAAGTGCCTTTGTAAAATATGACAACTAGACGTTAAACGCATCATTTGTATATCTTCCTTTGCATAATCCATCATCTTTCTAATTCTGTTGTTATTCCCATTGTATTTTGCTTTGCTTCGTGTTCTCTTTGTTTCAATCTTCTGCTTTTAAGTATTCCACATCCTATTCCTGCTATACACTATTTATATCTGTCCACATACGAGGAGCATATCACACTCATTCCCGCTTTAAAAAGTCGCTCTTGCAATTGTTATGATCGCCATGCCGCCTTATCATTCGTCAGTCTGTGCGTTGCTCCCCACCGAAATGTCGAGTTCACCGGGGCATCGACCTCCGTAGCTCTGTCTACCGATCGGATCATTTAAATTCGATGTCCGCCCAGCATCTGGGACGTCCAACACCTCCTTTACACCAACAGCGACCCACTTGGCAGCCTACATCCGATGTCCACCCGCCACATCCCGTTTTCTCTAGTCAAAGGCGACTGCTACATTCAACATCGCCTCGCCAGACCACTACACTCAACGTTTCCTTTCCAGATCATTTCAACTAACTACCCCCCCACCGGCCCCGCAGAACTGACCTCTCTCCGCCTCGCCGGAGGCAAAGACACCAAAGGTAATGAACGAAAACTCAGGCAAGGTAAACCAATTTATTGTTCTGTGCAAAATCCCACAGTACCTTTGTAAAATATGAAAATCGTACATTTTGTGCATACGTACTACTTATATCTGTCCACATAAGAGGTGCATAAAACAGTACTACTGCACCAAGTCCCATTAATTACAAACAAATACACGCATATTATCAGCTTAAAGACAAATACATAGATGAATTATGTTGTAATGATATACTATAACACTTACTCCATCTATAAAAGTGATCCGAGTATCGTCGTCTAACTCACTAAAATTTGAATGGATAAAAATAACACAGTATTATTATTGCTGCATATCATTCAGATACATATTTTGGGGTGATTGAATATATTAAAAAAAAATCAATTCTACAGCAAAATGCAAGAAAATCTATGCCCCACAATGGAAGGAAGATACTAGAAACATTAGGCGTGGATGACAATTGTTGGCGACCTCTAATTCAACAGAGAAACCAAGCAATAATTTTTAGATTTCTATAGTACACATCAATCACTAACTAATTTGAAGTTAACTTAGTGAAAATTTGAAGTATGATATATGGTTTAGTTCAGGGGTCTGCAAAGAGAAGTTTGATTTATAGATGATTCTAGTCATACAATCAAGTATGTATGTGTTCATTCCTGAGGATTCCCATAACAGCTACTCAGAGGATAATGATTCAAACAACAATAGCAAAACCAACAAATGTCAATTTGTCATCTGAAGCATCTAGAGACAGAAAAATGGTTCAGCGGTACAAAATAAAACTATATAAAAACAGTTTAGAAAATCCGATTGAGAATTAAGTTATACAAGTTTATTTCTCAATTCTGAAGTTTATCCCAATCAACAATGAGGAATCATCAGCTTTTAACCAGGCTGAGTAGATATATATATATTCAGTATTCACCTATATAATGATATTCTCTTTTATATTTTCAGTTTCAGACAACACTCTCCCTCTGCCAAACACTTGAAAACAACAAAGAAAAATAGTTGCAGAAAAATGCAGTACGGTGAATGATATATCTTGTACATCTTTAGACGAATTCAAGAATCTAAAGATATTTGTTTGCACAATCATTTCATGACTAGTGTTGAAACAAAACTCGTCATAAACTGTGTATATATGTGAAAAACACTAAAAATGTCGTCATTACAGATCAAAGATATTCTGAAAAGTTTTCAATTTCTATCTAGAGTTAGTGCTGAGAATGTTATCTATACAAATATGATCTAAACTTAATGACTAAACGATCATAATTGAAAAACTGCATGCACAACAACAAAAAATAATACAATTTATTAATGATTGGTTAGTGCTAGTTGAGACTTGTCAGCAAGACAGGTGTTCATTGTGTAGTTCTAAATCGCGTCATTCAGCTTTCCAGTTTAAAACGTTACCAATAAACTATTCGGGATAAAACTAATAGTAACATAATTGATTCTTTTTAGTAACTTCAGTTGACAAACTGAAGTGTAGTCGTAACTTAACTAACATATTTCCTACAGATTAACAGATAAAAACAGCATCCACAAGTATTTAAATAATTATTCTCTCAAATAAAGGCATTGAACTTAAGAAAATTTAAAACAGAAACTGTATACATAAATTTTGCACGCCACATTTTTCATTGACTACTTTTAAGTAAAAGTCACTTACCTAAGAATTAACATACCTCTGAAATCTAACGAGATTTATGACAATTGTTGATTGTTATCAGAATAGGGATTTGAGGAGATTGTAGTAATTTTAATAGTTGAATTCATGAGTTGATCTAAGCTAGACCATCAATGAAAACCTGGAAGCAGTGGACGACCGTTCCGTCCTAGTTTGGAACCGAAAGTCCTGGGTTTGAATCCCACATGCGGGATCATCGATGCGCACTGCCGAGGAGTCGCATAATAGGATGAAACGGTCATCAAGTGCTTCCAGGTTTTCAATGATAGTCTAGTTTAGATCGACTCATGAATTCAACTAATAATATTGTTGATTTATGAAATGGGTAAGTTTTATAACTCACAATAGTAATCAGTATGTTACACTCATGTTAAAAAGAAGTAATAAGACTGAGAAAATTTTGAACGTTAACTGTGGCTGAAGAAAACAAATTAACTTCGACTCATAGAGAAAAGTGCTATTTGTATAATAAACTTTTGTCATAACTACCATAAAATATTTTTTTAAAAATTCATCTTTGTATTGTTTGTTTGAATCTTCCCATTGATGTTTTGGATTGCAGTTGATCAGTCCCTTCTTGGCATATGTGCATCCTATGTGGATTGCCTTGAATCACTAGCGTTACAAGCAAATATGGATGTTGGCTTGCAGTGAAATCCAGCACGCACGTCTCGCCCTAATTGAGACTCATCAGCTGGAAATACCTGAATCCCAGAGTTGATGTTCACTCCGGGACATGAGCTCAGTGCCGTTCGCTTCAAATGCTATAGCGTTACCAATTTAGCGACCGAGTCCAGATAGCCTCTCTTTTTATGGAGAGACTGAAACAATCATTCATCTTGGTACTATAAACGTCGTCGGTTTGAACAATATAGAAACGAAAATAATTAGAACAACCACTATTGAGGAGTCTCAAACTGTTTAGTGCTTCTACGTTTTCAATGTTTGATAGACTATGATCAATCAATGATACTGGCTATGAAATTCAAGATTTTATTTATTTGAACATACAAACATCGGTACAAAGGGGCACCGAATACATATGCGTCACACAATAACAATGAGGGCAGTAGTAGTTGTCATTGATGTGCGTGAGGGCTGTGATGTTCCCGACAGTTTTCTTAGAGAGCTACATCCCGAGCCTTTGACCCGCAGGTCTAATCCATGACGTAATAGAGCAACGCTAGGAGATGCAGTCCCATGGTAGCCGGTGACCAACAATAGGTTCATACGCCATTCGTTCCCTCAGGATCTTGGGGCTCTTATGCGCCATTGCTTTGGAGTCGGGGCTTTTCAACTCCCCATAAGTGGACTGTTCGTGCTCATCAACCCAGTTAAAGCATAGGAGATTTGTTTTTCATCCTCAAGATTTCGTAAACAACAGTAGTGCCACGAAAGGGTGGTGAGGAAGACTTCCTTGACAGTGGCTGTATACGCGTGGCCATGTGAGCGCATTTCGAGAGGGAGAGATGACTCTCCCCACCCTTGGCCGTATCGTAGCATTTGGGGGGCAATTAAAGAACTTCATAAGAACCTAATATAGTAAAAAATTTTTTGTCTTACTTTGAACCACATGCTCGTTCAGAGAATATACGCAGCATAAATTTAGCTTCTTCATTTGGATTAAATGTACACGGGATAATCACATAATGGCCTGGTTTTAATTTATGCCTACCACAAACTTCACGCATATTAATAAATACCGGTGATCGAGCTACAGATGAATTAGTCATAAAAAACCTTCGATCTAACAGTCGATTGTTTGGAGCAGATGGAGGCATCTATAAAAGTGATAAATAGACAGATCATAGGGTAAAGAAGAATCATAAGAAATAACTGTACAAAATCAAGTTGGTAGTTGTTTACAAGAATTATCTATACCAAAGACTGCTCCTTTTTCCCCTGATTATCTCTTTTGGCGTAAACAGAGAGGTAGTAATGCTAGCGGTCAAAACACACCTTTTTCTTAAAGCTGCGTACATAAAAATGTACTTGTTAGCGCTATAAAGACTGGATTAGAGCATGTTCCTTGAAGAATTGTGATGGGGCACACTGACTGGCTATTTCTTAACCAATCATAGCTAACAGAGAATTAGAGAAGTGTCTGGAAACTTTTTATGTAAAAACTCTAAATATACAAACGCGTATCTTATTGTGATTTCTACTGCCATCTGTCATTGTTATTTATAATATAATTACGTTTCTGTTCAAACGTGTTCTGATTTGGGGACTAGTCGAGTAAATTAGTGTCCAAGATTACCAAGCAATAAGAGAAATTATAACAATATTTGATGAATCAATTATATTAAGAATTTGCAGTTATTGTATGCAATCGTGGAATCTGGAATTTCAAAGTTTATTATGTTCATTTTAAAGACAATCGTATTTTATAAATTCATCCAATCGAAGGATATTCAAATACAAATGAACTGTTTAGCCAGTATCCAATTACTTTCTAATAAAACCACATAAAGACTGGCATGGTAGTCAAAATGCATGTTTGCAGACTGTTTAAGAAACTACTAGTGTTTATTGTACTTGCACTTTTCAAACATTTTCTATTAATCCAGTTACTTTTGTGCATTCAATCACACGTCTTACTAATATCCAATAAATTATGTCATGGTTGATCATTTTTGACATGTCTTCTTGATTCTGTGACATTCAATTCATTCATAATTGTAGTTTTATTCTTTCAGTTTATCTTCGTCTAATGGTGTTCACTGGACATCTTTTCATCTGTTACTTGGTATGCAGAGATAACATTTCATTTTGTTGGCTGACACTCATACATTAACACAGTGGTTCAGGTACTTAGATTATCTCATATTTTTCAAAAAATAATCCTTATATAACTGTTCCCGGGAGCACTACCTTTACGAATGTTTATTAAAACGTGTAAGCAACGTGGATAACACCACAAATTGTGGTTTATGAAATGCATGACTTATACTATGACAAATAATAGTGTCGTTTTATAGATAAATCCCTTAGTTTGATTTTGGCTTTAAAATTTAGGCAACTCTCAATAAATAAAACTACGTTGCTGTGTTAAATTAACGAGTATGGGATATTTAGAATGAAACAGTCTTTGCAAAACTCTTTTTCAATGACGGAAATAAAATCCTTTTAACAGCATGTCCACTAGCCTGACTTGCGTTTTTGCAGAGAAATAATCCCAAATATAAAGTCACAAAAACAAGTGATATTTCTGAATACAGTCATCAAGATTGATATTTTTAGTGTTGAATGATTGCCTTGTATCTAGCCCATCACTCTCGACAAATGTGTGAATACTGTGTGTCAGAGTGCAATTTTGTCTATTTCATCTCAAGCGGTTAGAGCTATTTGTAATCGTATGCTATGGGGATGTCAGTTTAGCACAACCAGCATGTTGGATATGGTGGACGTTAGGGATTCAGACGAAATCTTTACCGAAAATCACATACTAGTATGAAGTATTCACTTAATAAATGGACGGAAAATAGTGACTGACATTGTTCGATACAACGTAATTATTGAACAACGAAGACTTTGATGATACCTCTAGTCGGATTCCTATCCTTCTAATGACACAAGCCTATATAGCTACTGTGTAATTATTTGATCGTAATAAATTATTTTTAAAGATACAACAATGATTAGTTTTGGAACATGACTCTTACAGCAGTAATTGGATAAATTCTTACCCGAAATACAGAATAACCAATCACATGAGGTTCAATGTGTTTTTCTCTTAATCCCTTCTGCATCAAACCAACTACAAGAGTGCCATTACCATCTGTAGCTGACTCATCTGGATCAACAACCTCAACATGAAATTGTGGATTCATGTAAAATGTATCTACAAAAGCAACGTGATGAATAATAACGTTCAATTAAAGTTACCAGCAGAGTAAAATATGTTTTTACATAAAACTCATACTATTGACAGTAGTATAAATATTCCTACAAAAATATATTGTTCATCCATTTGTTTAAGTACGTTATTTAGCGTACAATAGTAAAGGAATATGTCATACGATTATCAAAATTTATGACAGTATATGTATAATTTTGACTTCTCATCATCCAATAGAATATAACAATGGCTTTCAAATGAATAATTTAATTATATCAAGCTTCATGGTGAAATAAGAAAACTGAGGTGCTAAATTTCAATATTTACAAATACGAACATAAAAACGAAGAATATTGTTACATCAATCCTGGTCTCCAGGTTCTACCGTGGTGTGCTCCTCCTATGTGGACAGATATAAATAGCGTGTAACGGCAATCAGAAGTAGAATGCATACTAGCAGAAGATTGAGAAGATTCAATTGAAGAAAACGGAAGGGGAAACAGGAATCAACTGTATTAACAACAGAATTGAAACAATCATGAAGCATTTAAAGGACAACTGATGGAAGATGTACAAATTATGTATCTAATATGTGGTTTGTATATTTTACGAAAGCACTCTGTAATTTTGCATTAAATGATAAATCGGTTATCTCCACATGAGTTGTCGTTCACTGCACTTTAGTTGTATATTTAAATTAATAATCCAAAATTTGACTAGATTTAAGGCAAACACATCGATGAAAATTATGACATGTGAACACGGGATTGTTTGCAAACATTAAAACTTGTTCAAATTAACACTGTATAATAACTTGTGAATTGCGGGGACATTAACAATCTATTAATTTGTACTCCTTTCCAATCAAATCGCCTCACTGTATAGATGATTTAGAAGGACTTGTCAGGTGGGTCCATGTGACCACAGTTCACAAGATGTTTTAACACTGAAATATTGACAGATTTACATTCGATTTTCAAAAGTCACGCAGGATAATATTCGGAGATGCGTTTAGAAAGCAGTCGCCTTGTGTGGCCCATGTAACCTGCTCCACAAGAGCAAGTGAATATTCTTCATTCTTATATCTGTGTTTCTAAATATAATGAGGATCTTTATGTGATCAAACACATAATGTTGATTAGAATGCAAGTATTTGATTATTACAAGTATTTATTACATACTTACTGGGAAAATTTGAACAACCTCCAGCAGTTGAATTACGCAACCATTCACCTTCTTCACATATCATTTCCCATTGACGTTTATTACAACGACGGTTGACAGGACCTGGACTGTAAGCTATGGATTCTGGTCCAAGGTGACATAACTCAAGACGTGAGAAATAACGTACAAAATCATCGAAAGACATCCTTAAAGAGAAATAAGACGACATTACTTTCATCTTTTTTATGAAAAAAACACGTTTATCATCACATATCTACTACCATATTTAAAATATTGTTACTGTGAACACAACAGATAGTCAGTCAGCTAAAACGTAAGACGAGGCACATATATGCATCGGTCCAAGTTGCCACACATCATTAGCACAACAAGATGAACAACAAATTCACAGCAGTTACTTCAGTGGTAGTAGTATGTAAAAAAGATTGCATATAAGAATATGATAGAGGGAGAAACAATTAGTTCGTAGAAAGAGAGGTATAAATTAATTTTAATCTCAGTGTTCAAATAAATAAATAAATCTCAGGGTTTAAGGGAATACAGAGAGTGTATACAACTACGCCACTGTAATCGATTCTGAACCATGTTACAGCAGATAACTTTTGCCTCCGTTCTCAAAAATACAAATGACTATTAACACCTTTGTAAAACAAACATCTTTTCCTATCAAAAGCATTAGCTTTTTTTAAAATAAGAAGCAATTAGGAAGCATCTCTTAACTATCTAGATATGATATTACAATTTCATTTAGTCTATAGTGAACTATTGAAAATTGTTCTATAAACCGTGTAATACAGCAATGTATTTGGGTGTTTTTAAAAAAATAAATGGATTTCGGCTAAGGATGGAATTTAGAAACATCATTTCATACTATTAGTGACATGTCAGCTGGATGTATCTGAATTCGTGTTAATGTTCATGTTGGGACTCAAACCCAGTACTCCACTTCAAAAAACAAACACCTTACGTCATTCACTGAGCTACTACTGCATATGATGTTTTTATCATTGTTAATGAAGATTTAGATTAACTCGTTGTTGTCACTCACCAATCAATTTTGGTTGTTATACATATGATGTGGGGAAAAAATACAAATGTAAACGTTTCAATGGAAACACTTATATGCCGCATTCTTAGTATTTGTTATAGAAGAGATTTTCTGTGCTTTGATTCGACAATATTTCGATTGTTAAGATCGGTGAATAGAATGCTAATTGAAAGATGAATGCAATGATACAATGTGATCAAGTGGTGGCTACTCAAGAGACTATATAATTGACTTAGGTCCATGAATGATTCGAGATCATATACAAGACCACTAGCCAGATCATGATAAGATGTCATCGGTGATTGGAAGAAATCAGGTTGTGGGTCGCTCATTCTCCAACAATCAATTAAGACTTGACTGATAGGCCTAATCTTTGAATATCATATCAGTAGAATAATTGCAGATTATTGGACGGTTGATAGGACGGATAATAAGCTGCTTACGATTGCCTGATGGTACGTTTACACAATAGACGAACATAATATAGAATATAATTTATTCATAACTTGACTATGCATATCTGTGATTGAGGGAGACATACGAAAAATTACTGTGTTATGACTTACACAGGTAATTGAACTCAAACATTTCGACGTTAAACTTGAAATTTCAAAACAATCAAGTTGTGACTTATACCATTAAAATACGAATTATAAAAGCTCACTATTTTGAAAGAGATTTATTTGTCTAGGAATGTTAATTGAAATGATAATATTAAAGAATTGTAACAAACTCCTAGAACATTACAAGTAAAACTGTACTTATTTTTGATAAAAATCTTTTGTTTTGTTCTAGAAGTGGAACATCAAAAAAACTTTTGATATTAAAATGCAAAAAATCGCAAATAACAGACTGCAAGTAATCTTTCCTAAAAAGAGATAGTATGGCTGTTAAAATACACCATTGTAATCAAGTTGATAAAACTATATCCTCCCGACAAACGAATCAAAATCCAGATGACGATTACGTTACTGCACAAAATTCAAAATGCGATGACTGAGAGCTTGTATTGTATTAGTAAAAGCCTTGTAAGATACTTAGTAAATTTTAGTTATATTTTGTTAATAAATTGATAGAAATGAAAAGACCAAAGAATAGGAATGAAACTGACGAACTCTTAAAACGATGATATGTGAAGGATTAGGTTGACATGGAAAACATAAAATTAAAATGCATAAACATTCTAACATGGCTCATAAAGTTTTAAAGGTTGTTTAAGGGTTCTTCATATCTGAAGTTATAGAACTAGTTACATAAGTATTCATTAATATGGCTACAAAGTATTCTTTGATTTTATACCTAACCATTACTACTCCTAATCCTATGTAGAACTCATAAATCAAACTCCTCACTCTAATCCTAACATTTAATCGGTCTTTATTTAGTAAACTATTCACTCATATCAGATGCATTCTGAATGGTTAAACATTAGCTTTATTTCTTAGGATTAATTAAGTGTTATTAGAGATTGTAAGTAGAGTATACTTTACCAGCAATCTTGATCTGTTTGGGCTGTATTTATACTTTCTTAATGTTCAGTAGAAGTGCGACATTTAAAACTTTTTTTATACTGGATACAAGAGTGTAATTTACACTGAGGACTACATTTTATTCAGTCATTTATGAGCAGGCTATTGCAACATATACCAACTTGCGGAATGAAAAAGTACATAAAGTGAACGTTAGTACTTAAAAATGAAACCAGCGAAAATCATGATTTTATATGCAGCATTCACTCACTGAATGATAAGGAAAATACTAGAAACCTCATACATATTCAACAATGAGGCAGATTCATTTTAAATTCATGAACATGTATCCTATCCATTAAATAATTCTATCGAGATTAAAAATGAATTCTTCCATGCTATTAACAAAATATTATCCAAATATTTCACTAGTAAAAACAAGAATATTTACCAAAATTCACCATCTTCATCAAAAGTGAGACCAATTCGTTTTCGTTCATCAGGTGGAATATTTCTCCATTCTCTAGATTGATCACTCCAAGGACCTGACCATTCACGATCGTTACCCCATGGATTACGTAGACGGATTAGACGAATACTTTGAGATTGATAATTAGTATGAACCTTAAATGAAAATTCATTAAGAATTATTAAAGTTCAATCATGTCGGAGGAAACTTGACATTTTAATTATGTTTGTTAAAAATGAAATAATAAAGTGATGAGCATTTTCTCATTAAAGAGTAGATAATTACTTATGATCGTGGTATAACTCATCTAATCTAATTCATATACACATCGTTTATATGACACTAACATGCAAACTAATTCGATTCACATAGATGTATATGACGCAGTAGTTAGTGAGTTATCAGCGCTAACATTAAAGAAGCTAAGTACAAATATACATTTATACTTTAAGGTTCGAACAAACACCTGAAATTAATTAGTTCTGTTAATAAAAGTAGAATAACAATGAAGCAACGATTAAAGGTTGTTTTAAAAAATACAGTCACGATTGTAGATTAAATAAATTCATGAAACAATGCACTATGAAACAAAACAGTTTAAGCTGATTTTCTTAGTTTTATGAAGTGAATAGAGCATAAACCTCCATTAGCTATTAGTTATTTGATTTTGGTTTAGTGCTTTGTGTATTAGAGCTATCAGTCCAATACTGTAAGTGTATGTTTCTCTTCAAAATGCGAAACGTATACATTAGTAATTTTTTTAATGGATAACTGATCGATGAAAAAGCCAGTTAGTTGATAAGAACGTTTAATGGATAGACATAATTCTTGGAAAGTCAATTATAAAAATGAACTACCTCTAGGAACATATATCTAAGAAAACATAAAAATAACCCTTAAAACGTATGACGTAACCTGACCAGATGACTGCTCATCATAAGCCCTTAGGCTTGACCGATATTAGTCGAGTAAGGCGACTGAAGTGAACTGATGTACACTTCCTTGGTACGAGTTTTTCAATGAAAAACAAAAACATTGAAAATAAAAAAAATGTTTGTGTTTGCATTACAGGTTAAACTAGATTTTTATCTCTTGTCAGATTACCCAAGTGGCTTTCAATCTTCTGATAGTGAGTCGTAAATAAAGGCAATACAACAATTAGAAACTTGGACACAGTTCTTATACAGAACATCCTAGTCCCGAAGTCAAATTATGAACAGAGTAATCTTTTAGAGATGTGATAACGAGGAAAAGCTGTACGCATTACCAACACTACAAATTATACCACGGTACTTGATCACACGATAGATACACTACTACTCAATTATCTGGCAATTCAATCAAGAACCAAATACAAATTAAAAGTTTACTAACACAATATAGACAAGTTAGTAAATGAAATCAATGTTATTATATGAGGTAGTTGTTTATATTTAGTCTTGCTTGGACTATCCATTTTCAGTCATTAACCAATACACAGTGCGATTCGATTTAGACTATCAAAAAGTATTCAACATTTTATTTATAAAATTTCGTAAATATTAACTAACAGAATTAATGTTTAAACTATAGTTTCCTGTAATTTGACACAATTCCTAATTCGTGAGAATTCTTTCAACTTAATGATATCATACTTTTGTCATAATATAATACTGCTAATTAATGATTAGCACAAGTGTAGTGAACAAAAACACCAGCGAGGACAATCGAATATATTTGACATGAAATTACAGAGCATCTCACTAAAATCTGAGAACCATATAGTAAATAGTTAATTTGTAAAATATCAGTCCATCGTCTCAAACTTGACTGCTCCTTTTGCAAATATCAGTCCACGCATTTTCTAACCAACTGCGTTTCGTTTCCGTTCTTTTCTTATCGATCTTCTACTGAAATACATTCTGTTTGACCACTGTTACATACTACTTATGTGGATATAAGTAATCCACACCACACAAGTAGTGTTATAGTTAATCATAACGATAATAATAATAATAATAATAATAATAATAATAATAATAATAACGGAAATAGTATGTGAAATCTTACATGAAACAGCACAATATAAGTGAATTTTAACCTTAAAAGTTTATTTAAACTCATTAATAGACTAAAATTTCTTTTACAAATTCAATAAATCTGAACAATTCTTTATTGTAAAGTTAAATAAGATGAATACAGAGATTGATTCTAAGTAATATGTACTTTACAATAAATAATAGTACTATAGAACAATGTGGTACATTGAATGAAATCATATGTTTTAATAATGGCCTCAAAAAACATATAAAAAGAATATAATTAATTAAGAAAATGAATGATAATAAGAATTGATTCTTAAATAACTGATTTCTACTGTAAGAAATTATAAATAGAAGTATTTATAGCGAACCTACTATATGAATCATAAAAAAGAGTAAAGGAAAATAAGATATAGATGCATCATTTCAAGTTGTCATATCATATCAATATAGTTAGATGAAATTATCAAGAGAAATGTCGGAGCCGTATTAGAAGTAACAATACTGATGGTAGTGTGAAAGATTAGGTTATAGATAATAATGTTAGAATCTGAAGGAAGACAAAAATATTGAATGCATTTGAGATATTGCGACTGATTGTCAACTATGTTATCAAACTCACTTAGTATTGTTTTACTTGAATCTTCCCATTGATGTTTAGGACTGCAATTGATCAGTCGCTTATTGGCATATGTGCATACTGCATGTATTGCATTAATTTACAAGCATTATAAGCAAAGATTTGGGACTCGTCAGCTGGATGTCTCAAATAGGACAAGACGCGCGTCCTGGATCCCATTGCTAGCCACTATCTAACTTTGCTTATTATGTTATCGAATGTTTCCAACCTTCATCATGGAGATAAATAAAACACGATCGAGGTAATTTCTTCCAGTTTATTTTGAAAAGTTTACTAACTAACTAACGATGTCGGGTGTTTTTCAAGGTCAATGGAAAAAAAAAATTATTCTGCTATTATTATACAGTGGGAATGACATGGAAATTACACAAAATATATACTTCTTAAGGATGCAAACTCTACCGGAAATATATTTCATAAAGGATTAGTCTGTTTGATATCATTTGTTCAAGGTGAACTCTTAGAACAAATCATGCTATTATTGACTGCAATAAATAATCAGGACCATTTCACTGTTTAAATGGTGGGAGAACGGAGACTTTCATTACCACGTTTCTTAAATTACATGGATACGTGACATCCCTTTGGTAGGTTTTCAATGAGTCGCCGTATAATTTTTGCGAAATATATGAGAAATTGTAATTCTAAGTAACATAAATTAGACGAGATGAGTTAATTAAGCGAAATATGTTAGTCTCATCGCTGTAGTAACGTTTTGATTGAGTACAAAATGTTAAAGACTGTGTACTATTCGACAAATTTTTTTATTTTACCCTTCTTTTATTTTACATAAGTTCCTACTGGCATGTTAACATGCCAAACTCTGAGATAGTAATACCAGAAATAAAATTGATCCAAGAGATGTTTAACAAAATCAGAGTATATTTCTTTATATGGATGATAAAGAGTTGAAAGAATCAAGGGAAAGATATCGATTAATGACTGAATATCATTTCACAAGGACAATCAATCAGTTTATAAAATACTTATGAAATTCGAGAAAGCGACAATCATAAATTTTGAGGAGTCCAAAAATACCTTTTCTTCGTCTCTAGAAACCCGGAAAAAGCCAAGAAATACTTTACCCAACCAACACTAAATAAAATCTCCTCAGAAACATCGGGAAAATGAAGACAAATTCTACAAAACGAAGGTCACATGGGACTCTACAAATATACACGATTTCCTATACATAAGTAAAACTCTTGGTCCTATTTCATGCCTTTTCTCTATTGTTCGAGTTGAAGTGTAGTAGTCAGAAGTAATAGGAAGCCAGTATTAAGCATTTCAGTAGCAGATCTGTCAAGACATGTGTAGAATTTGAAGTGTATTGTCAAATGCGTTAAAACCTGCAGTCTAATTTAGTCGCAATACTCAACTAATTAGGCAAAGTAGGAGGGTAATAGTTTGTAAAAAGTTGTAATGTCAGCGAGTAAATAAATATGCACATAAGTCATCTATATTTATACTACTAAACTGATTCAGGTAGGAATATATGAGCGGTGACCTTGACCAAATGAACAATTCCCCTAATTACAACTGACTATTAGTCAATGTGTCATATTCAAAACAATACCTCTATAGTGTATTTAATAAGCTACAGGTTGGTGAGAACAAAATGAAAATGACCCTCTATGAATACAATCAGAGATCATCTATTCACTCATTCGTTTAATAATGTATAGAAATATAGTGCTCAAATCATTGTCCTATAACATCGATCCTTGATCTGTTGAGGCTATCTCGCATTGTTTGTCTTTACAGCGTTATAAGGGGTCTTGAAAGAGACTGATAAATCTTCATATAGATGAATTATTGATTCGCAAAACTAATTACAGGCACTGACAAATGAATAAACAATAAAAACACATTGTATATATTTACAATTCATTATAATCTTTAATGGTAGGTTCCTAATTTAACATAGTAAATATATACTAACTCGTCAGCCGGATGTCATAAAAGTTTCAAGGTTACTAGTTTTGGCAAGATTCAATAGAACATTTGTTACAAATGTTTATTTAAAGAAGTTTTACAAAATACTTACTAATAATTACTCTATAATGCAATCAGATTATTTCTAACGTCTATTGAAAGGGTTGGAATACAAAGGTTTCAATAACCAACATCAATATAATTAATTATTTGGAACATAAAAAGTTGTTTTTTTCTTCTAATAGCAAAAGCATAAGTGAACCAACCACCTATCGGTTAACGAAATAAGAAAAGATGTACATCAGGTAACCATGATACATCAAACATTGAATCTTTCCTTTAAGAAAAACAAACCTCTTTACACAATCTAATCAATAACAATATTAAGCTTAACATTTTTTTCATTCAGTAATAGTTTTCCTGAAGTCTTTTAACACAGTCATGTGAATCAACAAGCAATGTTTTTCAGAATAAAATGAGTCGGTAAAACATAATTTTATTGACATTGAATTTCGTCTGTTTCAATAATTTCTTACTCAATGTTTCATTAAATAAAAAC